CAGTGTGACTTTGCAATGCTACGAGCCACACAGTTGACGAGAGTATCTTCTCATTACATGTACATTACGCATCCCCAGCCATTGCAGTCTGCCACAGTGCAGGTCAGCTCAGTCATCTGAAGTTACAGTAGCCTTTAGGTTACAATAGGTTATAATCTTTAGGTTATAACAGGCACTTTCAATAGAAGAAACAAAGCAAAAAATACCGTTAATCCCTGATTAACTTTATGAATGGAGTAATTTTAAAAGGTGTATAACTAAACTAAAGCTTTTTTATGCTACTCTACCAGTGAAAGAGATCTAAACATAAGAGAAAATGAAGACATAGTAACTAACATACAGCAGGAACTCACTTTGCCATAGTATTTTAAGGAAAAATACAGGAATCTCATCATGCATTCTGAAAAGTGAAGCTTTTGACTTCTTTGTTAGAAGCAAACAATCACTTACTCAAACGACAAGGACTCCTAGCTTTTCCTCACTTAAGACACAAATACAAACAAAACCACCTAGTTCCAAAGGACAAGTGTCTGCATTAGACTAGTCCCCCCCCCAACACACAAATCCAAAAGACAGAAAAGAGAATTGAATTTATCATTTTTGTAAATATCACACAGCAAACACTGTGGATCACATCAGTTACTGCAGCTTGCCAGTGAATTGTCTAAGGTAACTCTTAAGATCGCATGGGAGAAAAAAAAGAGAAAAACACATTCTTCTTGCTGTTTCATAACGTACCTTCTCCATAGACTACCATGAATGTCAGCTCCTCTTTTCCTTGTTTGTTCACCAGCTGAACCATACCTTGGTATGGCAGCAGGGAACAGAATACGTCTATCATACTTCCATTCTAAGTATGTACTGTAATTGCTTACGAGTTTTTCATTTTGGAATATTTATTCTCAATCCACAAATTTTGTTAATGTTCTAACATGGGGTGGGTGGGTGATTTTTAAATAAACTGTAAGGAATATGACCATGGAGTATCTGAACTAGTTTTTGGAAGAAGAACCCCGTTGCTAGTCAGCCTGTACACTGTTGATTGTCCAAATCCTAAGTTCCAGGGCAACACACTGTTGATTTTTCTTTAAAATACATGTTTTAACAACTTCTGTTCATCATTCTTCTAATGATATATGATTTAGAATAGTCCAGCAGGAACAGTTACAGAAGCACTAAGCTCTGTAAAAATATTTCTCATTTTAACTCATGGATAATGTTCCTTCTTGACTATGCATCCAAGGGGGAAGCAATAGAGCACCCAGTAAGGAAAAGTAAATGGGAAATAAGTATGTTTACACCAGTACAGAGCAAGCCAATAATTGAATCTCGGCACATTAAGAAAGCTTTAGGAAGGGAACTGCACAAGGTTAAACATCCCCCCCAATTTGTATTCTTTAGGCTTGCTCAATCCCCATCCCCCGAAATCTCAAGACCCACAAATAGACAGCCAACACACTGCAGATTTCACAAATAAACAATACATGTGAGAAGATAAACACTGAACAAGTATGCATAACAGGAAGCAATGCATTTACAAAAGGCAAGGGCAGATTAGATATCAAGGAAAAGTCTTCTATTACTTAAAGCAGGACATTACAACAGAACAGTAGTCAAGAAGGGGTCACTGGGTCCCGTCACTGAAAACAGAGAAATTAGATATGAAAGGAATAAGTCACACCGAGAGCATGAACTTGCTAAGAGCATTTTTTCAACCTTAAGTAACATGGCCATAAATATACATGGGGCTCAGAGTAAAGACTACTGAACTGTAACCCTTGTACTCTACTGACCTGTTTCAGAGTCCTGGGTAAATCACTTGATCACACCACACTTGTTTATCCAGCTGTGAAACACCAGCAACATCTATTACACAGGGACCTGGGGAAAAGTTTCACACTTACACACAACTGCAAGACTTCATAGGACACAAGTTTGTGTATCTGAAGAGTTTGTTCCTTACCTCCCATATCAAGTTGTCTGACAGTTTATCGTACCTCTAGCTACAAACATAATCTTGCTATTATTTTCTTGTAAAGTATGAGAATACTGTTCTGCAATAGCTGTAGTTTTAAATGTTAACATGAGAGCAACTTAACAACTCTAGAAACTAAGAATATGTCAACATCCTACACAACACATTTGTTTACTTTTTTTTTTCAGAAGCCTGTTTACTTGAATGACAATGTTTTAATGCATTTTACCCCACTTAATCCCACAGAGTTAGAAATGATGAGCTGGAAACGCTCTTCCCTATCTTGGGAAATACTGAATTGTTCACTAAATTGTAGCCTACCAGCTAAAGCTATGCAGTCCTTCTGAAGACAATGCATTTCCCCAGCCTGTGAGGACATAAACAAAACTGCACAATTAATCGAACAGCAGTTGACTCCAAAACATGTCACAGCAAAATGTTACAAGATATAAAACAAACAATTTGATTCTCACATAAGAGGCTCAGTTCGTAGTTTGCATGGTACAGCTTTTCAATTTGGTAGGGGAATCACTGAAAAACAAAGCAGGGCCCCTTATCTATCATGCCATTTTTGAAGACCCTTTTCAGTGTAAGGGTATTTCTCTGCCTACTGAAGCGTGAGGCACAAATGAACATATAAAGGCCGCAAATGTGATTTTCATTTAATGCTCTACTTTAAGAGGAAAATGCAATTGAATGAAAAGTAGAACTTGCTTAAGCCATTGTATTGTCTTCTGCTAAGAGTTCATTAGTAACTTAACAATACTTTAAAAGAAGGAACAAAACGAGAAAATAATGATGGCCTATGGCTCGAGCAGATCAAGAGATCTGCATCCAGAAAACAAATACTAAGAAGTGGTATAACACGTTCAGCTTGAGCAGCTGTCATTTAAACAAAGCTGCAGGTTCTATTTTACTTGCTTGACAGCTCACGTATAACCCGACAAGGAAAACAGCAGTCCCTGACAAAAGAAGTAGTAATTACAATAATAAGGGTTTGATCTAACAGATAAGCACAAATGAGGTCACCTCAAAACCTGTCACCTGAAACAAATGGGCTATCAAAAAGTTGAGAACCCACTAGTTAAAATGCTGCTGCTCTCAGACTGCTTAAATAGAAAAAAACCTGCAAGTGCTACATTCTTTTCACAACAACTCAGCATGGTCGTAAGGAAGTCACCATGCTTCTGCCACCCCCTACATTCCTTCAGCTACTTCTATGTAACTGACTGCAGCAATCCTCAATTACTCATTTGGGATGCAAATTTTAAGAAATAGGAATAAGGGGGTCAGAGCGCTGAAGTCCTGGCAATTTATGTGGTGGAAACCACTAATACCAGCTATACCAGTGCAAAATTTCTTAACAAAGAAATGCCTCAGCTGTATGTCCCACGAAACACCACAATGCTCTTTGTTAGTATTTCACTGCAAATATATACGGGGATCATTGGTTTTAATTACAAAGTACTTTTACTTTGCCTTGCAGTTTGCATTTTAATTTCTGGTCATACTTCGTATTTTTAGAGTAAAAATATATGGACAATTACACAGACACCATCATACAATGGGAAAAATAACTGAAATGCTAGCATCAAGGATGGAGGTTTCTTCTGCATTAATTTGTGCCACTTTGAGAAACCCAAGGAAACAAAATCCTCAGCATTTTCAACAATCATTCATCTTTTCTGATAGTTGACAAATTATACCTATGCAGGAATCAAAATTGTGAAGCACAGAGTTTTAACAGGAAAAAGCTGGGGATGCAATATAACAATGGAGAGGAGAGGGAGAGGGACAGGGGAGAAAAATTACTCCTGGGGGAAAAATAGAGAAGGAAGAAAGAAAGAGGATCTAAGTAGACCAATTCATTGCTACCCTGGAATTGTCTCAAAAATTCAGACTTGGGTTGCCAGAACTCAAGCGCTGTGTGAAAAACATACTTCTTAGGAAGCCAAACAGGTGAAACTGAGCTAAAATAAAAATTAAAGACACCCTACCTTTCATGTATGTGTCCAGAAAATCAAACTATAAAAATCATCACTTCCAATGTTGGGTTTTTTCAAAGTCAATCCCTATAAGGAATAATAGACTCACAAAATCTCCTATTTTACTAGTTTTCTGTTAGGCCTCCAGAAATCAGCGTTTTTTCACTTTATCCTTCATTTTTAGTAGGTACCAGATGAGCTCTGGTTTCTGGATCATGGCTTAGGAAAATGCTTCCTCCAGATTTGTTCTCAATTGGGGAAAAAAAAAAAAAAAAAAGTACTTTTGGTTGTAAGCAGTCATGTCTGCTACAAGAGAGGGGAAAAAAAAGCCCCAAACCCAAACACAACTGGGCATTTTGTCTGAACCCCCCAAAAATTAAGTCAGATCAGAAAACCTCAGACCATTGTTACTAGAGATCAAATATTCTAGTATGAAGACATTTGTTGCTGAAGCATCATGGGTGACATTTGTTCCACCTGATGTCTGCGTTTTAAAAAAGTCTAACTAAATTTTGCTTTTGCATTAAAACATCTATTTAGAAATTGGGATGGTTAAAATACCATTCTCCTAGTGTACAGTGTATAATAACTAACTAGAGCTTCCAAACAGGGACCAAACACCACTATATTCTATTTATATGCATACAATTTATTTAAAACTAAGACTGTGGTCAGTTGCTGCCAGGGGTCCCAATGTTCTTGCTGTTGCTCAAGCTGAGGAAAGAAAAAGCAATCCATGCTGGCAACAGCCGATGCTATATTAGAATGGAAAGCTGCAGTGTCAACTGCTCTAAGATGGTCCCATAACTGCAATAAAACTCTGCACCACCACAAACCTTCCTCTCCCACCCTCCCAAAACCAGTCACATTTTGACACGGGCATACATTTTTGATCAACAGATCTATGGCGTGTACAATTAGAAGACTGAGAAATGTACTTTTTCCAATATAGTCTGTAGTAATCTCTGAGTGTTTGGATTTGTCATGATCTTCACATATACAGAACCCTACAGTATTTTTTTTGCAGAGTGCTGGATAGGTATTCTATTAATGTCCGTTGTAGCAAAACATTTGAATCCATACATAGAAAAAGTGTATTTAATGTTCATGTTCACATAAAGCACTTAAGAAGAACAGAGTAGAATATAATGCTTAGAGACCATCTTTGAATGCTTTCAGTAGCAGGTCGGCTGCCAGTCCAGGAGACAAGACACCACTAAGAACTTTTTCTTCTAGAAGTGGAATCTTATCCTTGACTGCCAAGTGACTCCGGAAATGTTCCAACATATTTTCTTGGATGAGATTCCACATCCACACTTTCTGCTGTTTCCGTCGTTTGGCAATCAACTCACCACTTGTGAGCATGAGGTCACGAAATTCTGTCATTTTATCCCACATATCTGAGATACCTTCTCCAGTTTTGGCAGAGATGCGCATTACCTGTTGGATTCAGAAGAATTTTTAAAGCCAAGTAACTGCTGGGCTTGAGGGTTTAATTACTGCATCAGGTAGATTGCATGAAAATTAAGAAATGCATAAGGCAAGCCTACTTCAATACACTCACTTCATGAAGCTCTAAGCAGTTTTATGCTGGGGGTTTGTTTTTTTTTTTTTAAAGATCTCAAAATCGGGATTCTACCAACTATAAGCGGACCCCGAGATCCACAGTATGTGGGATAAATAGGCATATCCAACTACTTGTATCATGACTGACAATCATTTTTAATGAGTCCTTTAGCTAAAAGGTACAGTGCTGCCATTTTACTTAAATGTCGCATTAATTACATATTCTGGTAGATACACTCTGGTAGCTACACTTGCACTCGTAATATTCCAGAAAGGAGGTATTTTACCACACCCAACACCCCCCTCCCCCCAAATCATAGTGAAGTACACAAACCTTTGGTCTCCAAACCTTTGAACGTTTGCGAAGCAGCTTCATAGCACTAACATATTCAGCTTGTATTCTCCGTGCAGGCACAATTAAATCACCATCAGCTTTATTTATAGCAACTAGATCTGCCATCTCAATTATACCCCGTTTGATACCCTAAATGGAACATGGAGAGAAATCATGAATACCCAGAAGGACTGTGACATGCTGATTTATCACAAAAAGCAGGTCAAAATGCTTTGTTAGTTTCTGGGGACTCTTACTGACTTTTTTGTGTGTGTATGTGCTAGTCAGGCAAGAGTAGTACCAACGGCCTCTGTCATTACTAGTTACTACTCTACTTTGACACAAGAACACTAAATATGGGTATCAGTTTACATGATAACCTATTTCATGTGTAGAGACTTCAAGTTTATCCAAAACATGACCAAGTTTGCAAACCTATTTATATTGATTTCTGTTTTCCTATAATACAAAGCCACTCCCCAAAATTATATGTAACTAGTAAACAAGCCAAAGTAAGTCAGAGAGTATCAGAATTTCACATCCTAATACTTTCAAAATCGGGGAGGGATATCAGATCCTAACTGGGCAATAAATTGATAAGACTCTGAAAAGACTTCAATAGTAGCAGCATAATTTACAAAACACTATTGATACAGACTCTCTGCACAGATACTATATCTTCGATTTAAGTTTCTCTTCCTAGTCCTAGGTAATACTTAATAAGAGAAACTGAAAAATACCTGTAATTCATCTCCACCCGCAGGTGGTAGCAGTAATATAAACATATCAACCATATCAGCCACAGCAAATTCTGACTGTCCCACACCTACAAAATTAAATCCAGAGTTCACCACTTATTGCAAACTTTCAGTCACATTAATCACAGTAATTATGACAGATCCCAGTATTGCACCATGAACAAATCCCACTAACAAAGACAACAGGAAACACAACAGTTTTTACAAAACATACAAGACTAGAAAACTGACAGAACAGGCATTCATTTTCAACCAGTCACCATGCATGAAAGCATGAGCAAAATCAAGGATGAAAGTATGCAACTAGCAACACACCTTATTCAGGTATCACAACAGGATAATTAAAAGAAAACCCTAAGCACATACCTACTGTTTCCACAAGAACAACATCGTAGCCTCCTCCTTCACACAGCAGAATGGCTTCATTTGTGGTCCTTGTTACACCTCCCAGTGTCCCTCTGGTTGGAGATGGTCTGATGTATGCATTCATGTCCCTCGACAACTCAGTCATCCGTGTTTTATCACCCAATAGAGAACCTTAAACATTTAATGTTAAATTATTTCCAAAGTGCAGAACAGCCAAACTTCCCCTCTCCCCACCCCCAATAAATGAGTGAGAAAAGACTGATCTCTTGGATGAAGTCAGTCAGATAAGAATATCCCAGTAATAGCTGCTCAAGACTTTGCTGAGGACTAGGAAGTTACTGCCTGGTTCTTCTGCCCATGAGAAGCTGGAAAGGCCTGATAAGCAGACCTTACTGCTATCAAATACAAAGAATTCGTTCTAGGTCAGAATGAATTTCACAATTCCTGAATGGCTTTTTGAGGCCTATACACAGCAGGCCACACAATTAAATCTTTGTTGTTTCTGTCCAAAGGGACGAATCTCTGCCTTATGATTCTGATATGTCTTGATGGTGGATTTTTTTGTTGTTGTTTTTGAGAAAGCTGACATGCATCCCTGCCTTCCTTCTATTCATACAAACTTTAAATCGGATTTGGTGAGATCTATATGCATGATGTACATTCCAAAAAATGAGAGATGCTCAATTCTTTTAACTTTTCTTAATGTACACATTCAAGAATATAGTCTACCTTAGTTCTGGGTCATTGCAATGCTGAAGTTTTTTTTCTTTTTACATAGTTACACATTGCAGCATCTTCTCTAACAGCATAGAAGCTGGAAAAAGGAGTAATGTTCCCTGTCAGCTGCCCATTAGAAAAAGATCAAAATCAAAGTTCTATTATTTATGTCAGAGACACCATTAATCAAGCATGGTCAGCCTATAATTTCCCTACAATTTTTGATTTGAGAGTGACAGATTACAGCCACACAACTTTGAAGAATTTCAAATTTAGAAAAAAAAAATAAATAATCATGCTACAAGTCAGACAAATGGTCAATGATACTACATCAGGGGACCCTGAAACCAGTACAGTCAACAGAAATCCAAAAATTCCTATTGAGAAGAACTAATGAATGTTCTAAAATCCAACCTGATCTACATGCTTGGATTGCAGCATCACCTAAATAGTTTTAAATTAGCATATGCTTCCTGCCCAGTGATCAGCATTACCACTATTGAAACTTAAGCAGAAATGAATGCCCCTCTACTCTTTCATTCACAGGGAAATAAAGAAATAACTAGAGAAAGAAAACCACAGCAACCTAAAGTTTCAGACAAAAAAGTTGTAAGGCAACATTCAAACACTGGAAAAGAGGAAACCTGACAAAATTAGGACGGCGATACGTATTTCCCAAATTCATATCACAGGAGGAAAAAATGAAAACATGATACAACATTTATTCTTAGCATTTTACTTTTATAGGCCCCAGATTTTCCTCCATTTGGCCCAAAGAGATACTCCTATAGTTGATAAGGTATTAGAAACCTGACTCAAACTTTAATTCACACTCACCACCACTTGTACTAGAGGAAGGGTCTACAGCCAACACAGACACTTTGTATTTTCTTTCTGTAAGCATTTTCCCAAAGCATTCTATGAAAGTTGATTTCCCAGCACCAGGAGGACCAGACAATCCTAAATAATCATATTAAGAAAAAACAATTTTGTTAAATAAATAACACGTTACGTGAATACTATCAGCATCTAAGTTGATAACAATTCACACTTTAACACCATATCACAACAAAGGCAAATGAAAGCTATGCCACAACTGACATAGCCAACCAAGCAGTCGTAATTAACTTGAAATACACTACCTTGGTTCACCCAACACAGCAGCGCTCACTTCACCACCCCTCATCCTACCCACACCAACATAACATTGGGTTTATCCAGCCCCATTTCCTCCTCTCCAAATAAGTTTATTTATACTGACTTATCCTTCAGAACTTTAAAAATATCATGTCCTAAATCTAGATTTTTCAGGTTTACTAACTATTTATAAAAGAAACACTCTAAAAGCAAAAGCCCTTACCTTGAAGAGCTGTTAGTTAAAAAATGAGGCAATTTACTTGCACATCAAAGCATGTAAACGAAGATTAGCACCACATATTTCTCACTCCTGTGCACAAGTTCTTGTTCTTACTACTTTTGTACACACACGAGAGACAACAGCTGGGCATGACATACTTTAGTAGTCCATCTCTTTTCAAGGGAAAAATATTTTACAGTTTCCCAAGAGAACCAGTCTCCTCAGCTGAAAAGCAGGCTGCTTTAAAGTAGGGCCATAGATCAGGAAAGTACATGGTTTTCCTTTGGCAGACTGAAGAAGGGATTCAGGAAGTATTCAAGAAAACACCTTCTTCGGGATAAAACCAGGTCTGCTTAACTACATCCTTCCCTATCCAAGTGTAGAGAATAGCTGTATCAATCTGCAAACTGCCTAACATTTTGGTTTATAATAGTTATTAAAAAAACCCAAGTAACAGCCCCCCAAGAAGCAACAATAATTTCTAGAGCTTTTTCAAAAGCCTCTTCCAGCTCAAGCCATAACCTTACTGGACAAAGAAGTGATCCAGATTGGTTACAAACCACAAGAAACCAATGATCCAAGACTACCGACCGTGATGCTTAAAGAACAATAGCGACAACGAAAGGTGAGGACTGTAATTCCATCAAAGCAGCTACTGGACAGACATAAAAGGACTAACCCACTCTAAAGGCAAGTGGTTTTCCTTGATTTAACTTTTCTTGTTCCCTGTGGTAGGATAATACCTTCTGAAGGAGCACCTGGGCTATTTTCTTCTTCCTACTCTGAGTTGATTCTACAAGTGTAATAGCTTCTGCTAAACAGGCTCTATGACCCTGAATTAGTCCGCTGTAAAGTCTGTCTACCAGTCTTTGTTCTTTGTCAGAAAGTCCCTCTATCTGCTGGTCAGGGGCTGCTTGCTGGCACAGCTCTCTCCTCAAACCATTTGAAGAACAAATCCATTTTGTACGATAGGGATGCACTGGTGTAAGAGATTCAATGCATGGGAAATCTGCTCTGGAAGTAAAGTGAAAGTTTGTGAGGCAAGTTCTTCTAGAGAAATAACAATGAGGGAACCTCAGCAGCAAAGAGGGGATCTTCATCTTGCTTGGAATTAAAAGTAGCAAAGACATCAGTTCACTTCCATTTGCAGACACCTTAAAGAGAAAGAAAAATATTTTTACTTCCTTCAAAGCGCTTATAAGGACTCAAATGAAACCTACGTATGCAGGCAATCATCATCTTTTATTTTATCCATACCTACTGTTTTTAAAAAAAAAAAGATGGTTCCTGTTTCCCATTGAAAGAACGATAAAAGCAGCTATGGAATCTTCCATAGGATAGCATCTCTTTATTATCATCCGAAACAAACAAGTATTTTATTTTTATAAATAAGCAGATAAATAAAAAGCACTTTTAAATAAGACAGCCTCCAAGAGCACACACGGCACCCTAAAAAACCAGGAACAAACCAACCCTTACGCTTACTGAAATTGTTGTATATTCTACTTCCACGGCTATAAGATTTTTTTAAAACTAGTACTCAGGATGAGCTTTTTACACCTTATTTCCGGGGGGGGGGGGGGGGGGGGGGGGCGCAGCCAAGATACAAGAACATTTAGAAATAAGCTCGAGAAGCAGAAACCTCCCAGAGGACCAACACAAAGCAGCAGCACCAGGCGCAGCCACCGCGCTCTCTGGGCCTGCTCTGACCCGCACCTCTAAAAGCCTCACAGATCCACCCGGGCCGACCCTTGTTCACAAAAGCCGCCCTTGCAGCTGCTTTCCGAACCCTCTGGGGAGAGGCTCACCCCCCCCCCCCCCGGGACCCCGGAAAGCCCCAGGCCCGCACCCGCTCGATCTCTCCTCAGCCCGGCGGGTAGTGGTGAGGAACGGCCTGCGCTCCCCCGCCTCCCCGCCGCCGGGAAGTGACGCCCTCACGCTGAGCCGGAACCCGCGTCCGGCCACGGGGCACAGGGCCCACCCCGCCGCGGCCGTCCCCGGCCGCCCAGCCGGAGGCCTGCGCCGCGCATGCGCCGCCAAGCACCGCCCACCCCCCACCCCGCAGGGGGAGGGGCCTGGGTGGAGGGCGTGGCCGTTGCCGTTGGCGTCCCGCAGAATCGGGGCTGGGGGGGCGGGGGGGGGTGGCTCTGATCGAGTGCGGTCGATAGGCTCACGATATGCGCGCGATATGCTCATTTCTGGTCATTTCATGAGAACACAAGCTTCCGCGTTGATGCAATAACCGTTTGCTGGCCCTGCCCTTCCTTGTGAGGAAGGGCACTGCAAACCCTCATTTCACTCCTGGTCCGAAATCTCAAAAATGTCACTTCGACTTTGTGCACGACCACTTACTATTCCCCGATTTCGTTTCAGACAGCAGGAAGGGAGAAGAAAGGCTTAAACCCCCAAACGTGTTTATTAAATCGTATTTCTTTTCATTTTGCAAAGTTAAACCTGATTTTTAAAATTTGCTCTCACAGAATGGGGTTTTTTTTTCAACTGTTACTATTTCTCTAGTCATCTTACCCTCCCTTTTCTGCACTGCTTCTTGCTAAAGTACATGCATTTATTTCCAATAAACAGAAACTGGCACAATGCGCGGGCCGAGGCGCTACTAGTGCCGTACGATCACCCTAGCGCTGTTCTAGAATGCAGTAGACTTGGTCCCAGTGCAACTGATGGACTGTGTAAAATAACAAAAGTTTTGTTCTTAACTGCCAAATGCACAATTTAATCTCATTTCTATTATTCCGGTCCACAAGATTATCATAGACAGAGAACTGAACAATCTTCAGAGTTGATAAAACATGCAATTTCATGTCCCCATCAGCATGTGATGAAACCACAGCAGAAAGAGACAAGAATTCCCATTTCAAAATAGCCTTGTGTGGTCTTTCTATTTAACCAGTTCTTTATTCATCAGAGTTAGCACGTATCACTACCATCTCTTCCTGAAGTTTTCTAAGGCTCTGTTTCAAGGGCTGTGCTTAAACCCAGGTAGCACATACCCGCTATTATTTTAGTAACGGCAGCAACAACAAAAAAGCCATTCTGCTGTGGTTTCATCACAGATGATTGATCCTGTGTTTTCTTCCACTTTGTCTGCATTCATCATGAATACTTTTATCATTGACCTTGTTGCAAGAACTAGATGAATGGGTACACAAAATTGCACGTTTTGTCAACACTGAAGAGGAGAGTGGATTGTTCAGTTCTCTGTCTGTGACAATCTTGTGGACTAGAATAATAGGAATGAGATTAAAGTGTGCATTCAGCAGTAAAGAACAAAACTTCTGCTATTTTACACAGTTCATCAGTTGCACTGCCAATCTGCTATGACCATGAACAAGCATGTATGTGTTTTGGAGTAGTCTTCCCACAAGAACCGTTTTAAAGACCTTGCACACTGATGAGGTGTGGAAATCCAAATTGCTCAAGTCACCTCTTTTTTTCCCTTTCCTCTCAACTCTGTTATTCAGCAAGATTGCTTTTCTCCAGACAGAGACTATAGTCCCCAAAGGTCAGATATAACAGGTAGATTTCCTATTGCATTGTCAATTATATGCACCTCTTCTTTCAGTATTCTGGAATAGAGATTACACAGGGCTCCTAAAACTGTGTGCTCTTCTACCACCTCTATGTTACTCTAACCTCATCCAAAATAGGCAAAATACTTCCTTAGAAGCTGGACCATATCTAGAGTCTCCCTAATCTACATTCTGTCATATTATACAGTGCTCTTATGTTTCCCCTATCGTCTTTTAACATATGTGACCAAACATGTTTTTTTTGGTCTTTATTACACACAGATCAATGAATTTTGGTCAGACTCACTGTTTTTGTGCTTTCTGATCTCCAACATAGGCAGTTCTCTTGGTTCATGTGTTCCTTTACCCGGTCATTATTAACTCACTTAACATCCTAGCTGAGGTATTCAGGAGGGTAGTTCAGTAGCTTTCCACATCAGCCTCATTGTTTCTCTCTCTTTTCTTAAAAAAAAAAAAATAAAAAAATAAAAAATTTTTTTTTGGGGGGGGGTGTTTGTGTGGGTTTTTTAATTCCAAATTTAAGTCATCTTCCTTTTTGTGTTCTCTCTGCTTCTTTTCCCCAGGGGTGTCAGAAGAATAAAAATGTGCATCCCATAGTTATTCCATCACAGTCTGCAAACTTGTCCAATACTTAAGGAAAATTATCTGTTCTAACCTCCTTGCTGCAAATCTAGCCCAGATGTTAAAGAAAACGGTACTGCTGGTTACTCATGAAATGGCAGTCTTCCTTCTGAGCCAATACTAAATCAAACACCCTGTAAAGTGTTATAAAGTATTGTGCCATGGAGTAAGGGTGTAGGGAGGCACAAATCTTCAGACAAAACATGCAACTGAATCCCAATCATTATCAAAGAATAGAAGAAGAGCCTTCTGTAACTTTTCACAGCAGAAACTGTATTACCATTAGCATCTTTGCCAAATTCCACCATGCAAATTTACATTCCGTCTAACTGGCTTCCCCTTGCAGTTTTAGTTGGATTCGTTCGTTCTTCCTTTCTCAGGCAGCACTCTAATTTCCCTGGTCTGTTCACCCCCTCTTTAAGAAGTCCCGAAGTAATCTTTGTGCACATTATTATCGCAACGATGACATTTAATATATTCATAGACATAACTATAAGCAATGTGCTGCAAAGGCAAATACAAAACTAACAATCTCTATGATCTAAATGAAATTGCAACAGGACAAATAATTGATGAAATTAAATAAACAGCATCACCTTGAAATTCACCAGCTTTTCCCTTAACATATAAAGATGTACTTGTGTTAGGAACTCTCTGTTGGACCCTCCCGCTGTACATTAAAAGATCTGGCATGCCTACAGTCACTGCTGGTTATGGTTACAGAATTATGAAATTCTCATCACATACAAGAAGAAATTATGATTTCTTAGAGATGAAATTTTATTTCATCAGTTCTTTCTCCCCCTGTGAGGATGGGAAGGGTGTTTAAGAAGGCTCTGCCATGCTCCCAAATCCCTTTCACCACTATGCCTTATTGCAAAATGAACTTCTCATTCAGGAATACAAATTCAGTGGCAATTCCTACACTGAGTACTCACATTGCACTTGCAGTGTAGCACCTGGTTGTCTTCACACTCTGCCTTCCTCTAATATTTCTCCTTTCTCCATGTAATAGTCCACCCTGCTCATTGCAAATGCATGTTCTTGGCTACTATGATTGCAACTAGACTAGTGGTTTTATTGCTATTACAAGCAGTCCAAGAAAAAAAACCAGATATACCTTAAACTGCATTAGAAATTTTGGCTGACATAACACAGATCAAAGTTCAGCATCAAAACTCTATCAGGGTCCATCCTGCAAACACTACCTACCTGTCCTCCAGCGCCCAGGAACCAGCATCACAGCACTTCCCCTTTTGTGGCTATGAACCAGACCTATTGCTTCCCAATGCACAAGAGAAATGAGGGGTCTCCTCCACTGCAACCTACAACAGCTGACTGGAGCAACAAACAAGTGGCAATTTATGGTGAGTGTTAAATCCTACCCGCATATCAGGTCTAGCCAAGTTACAGAATAACTACAGTCCCTGCCACAGTACAAACTGAAACTATAGTGGTGACTGAATGACCATTTGTCCTTTATTTCAGAGGACACCACTCAATTCATTTCAGTTTTCACACAAGCAGAGAAGACTGAACCAGTCTCCTCTTTGCAGCACAACACTAAGCAAGGTAACTGCTGATTACAGCCTTATTTTCAGGAAAGAGCACTAGCGTTTTAAAAAGAACAGTCTGAGCACTTTAGACTAAATATTCTTCTGCCTCATCTTAAAAGATAATTGGACACCTGAAATAAAAACAATAGCAAGTATAATCACAGCTGAAAGTTTGCCTGTTCAAATGCAACATGAGTCCAGGCCTCAGGTTTTGCATTTGTGACTCAGGCAAGGAAGCAGCACAAAAGCAGCAAATCTCCCCAAAGGCTCATTAACAGCTACACAAACAGGTGTTTGCTGCATATGGGCATTCAAAGGTTTTACTACAAAGGCCAGGACAGAGCAGCAAATCAGATCCCTGGCTAGGTCTGGAGACAAAAGCCTTACCGCAGCTTTCCAGGTTCAGCATCCTACAAAGAGGGGACGATTCCAACAGCTGATCAGAGTCACTGTACTTGTGCTGGTGAAGGAGCCATAAGATTGTCAGAGCTGAAAGAGCTGTCTGAGAACCTGGGAAAAGAAATTTGCTCTTTGAGCTTTGGCTGAGACCTACAAGAGAGTATCTGAAGAAAAAGGAGGAAAAATTCATCTTGCACAACTATGGTTTATATTTGTGTAATGTTTTTATAAACAAGGGAGCTGAAGTTTCTTCACAAAACCTTATAGCAGTGACTTCAACATTCTCATGTTGATACGAACTGAGCTATGATTGCACATTAGTGAGAAATGACATAACCATTACAGGAAAGTTTTCTACTGCTTATGCACAAGTTTTTTAATTGTTCATGATGAACTGCCTGATATAAAATGACATATAAAGGGGACAGATAAAATA